CACTGATCTCTAAACTAAGTCTTTTTGTCACATATGTCATTTATTTCTATCCCTTTAGTTATTTTGTTCAGGTCAGCACTTTTTAACTGCACATTTTCTAGGCACTGTACTATATACTTGTATATACATTAAGATTTTATAAACATTTAGAGATGAATTGACATTTTATAAAATGTTTAAAACATTGAGATTCAGAAATTTAGAGATGGATTGACGTTTTAACGTTTAACAAAATTGACAAAATTCAAAACCCTGCTAACACCACAAACATTTTGATACTGAATTAAAGAATAGCTCATATAACTCATCTAGCTCACTAGTGACATTGTAACAGGGTGGTCCCCAGGAAAGGGGGAAGTTCCAGGTTCCCTGCCCCACCCAAGGGAGGGTGGAGCTGAGCAGGAAGAGGAGAAGCTGGAGAAGAGACTAAGGAAGGAAGCAGGATGGAGCCAGGAGACCTGGAGGAGGCACATGGAGCCTAGAGACACGTGAAGAAACTGCGCTTGTCTTTTGGTCGTGGACTGGGTGACACAGATGTGGGTGAGACCCGTGGGGAGGTGACAATGGCAGCTTTTATCTTGATGTTGATTTTGCTCTTTTCCTTCCGGGCTTGTCCGGTTGTTTGTGACCCTTTTCTGTGGGTCCCCACTGGAAGATGCTTTAGACTTGTGGCAGGCCTTGGGGCCTTGCTCTGGGCCAATCCCATTTGGATGGACTTTTACCCACGAGGGGATGGGTAACTTTGGGTGCTTGATTTAGAAACTAGACTCTTTGCCTTTCCTGTATTGTTTCCTAGTTTTATTAAAGTTCCTTCCCATTAAAGTCTCCTATGTTTTGTGTTGATGCGGCGGATGGCAGAACCCATTTAGAATAGGCAGGTTTGCGGGGCTTGGGCTGACCCTCTCCCTGTCCTATAACAACATCATGGTTAGGTAGGCTTCAAACATTAAAAATTTATCAGATGATTTTTTAATTTAATAATTTAAGGTAAAGTTATTAGCATGGATTTAAGCATCTGTGCTAAAATTGTCTTCTGCACTTCAGATAGGAGATTCTATTATAATTCCACTTTCTGAATGTCTTCTAATACTTGTAACATTTCTATAAATATCTGAGCACAAAATATTGATTTCCCAAACTTATCAAATGTGATAGAACGAGTGAGTATTGAACATTAAACTAAAACACTGTTTGAAAATGATTTTCCGTTTAGATTATTTCCCTTAACTTTCTGAATGCCTCTGGGCATAATTGAAAGACCCGGTTACTTTCCCTGTACCTTATGTTAAAGTTTAACTGTGTTACATAATTGAATTGATTAACAATTTTTAGAAGATTAATTAGCATCCCAACAGAAATTTAACAGAACTTTTCATTAATACCTTAATCTTGATAGTAGCAATTTCCCTCTCAGAGCACTTTGAATTCCCAGAGATGGCTTCTAAATATGGAGCTTCTATTTACTTAATGGAGCTTTGCGCCTCTGAGAGTAGCTCTGTGGGGTGCTGGGGAACTCAGAGGAAGATGTGAAATGGGCTGCTTACGAATAAGAATGCAAAGTAGGCCCTCTCAGCCTTGCAGGTTGCAAGCACTATAGATCCCTTACTCTGATTGCAACTTCAGCAGAGTGGAGTGGTTTGTTTGTTGAAATAATGAATAGTAGATGGCATCCATTTTAGTGGAAAGTTTTAATTTGTGATTCCCTGAGGCTGTGCGAAATGAGACACCCTTATTTATTCCCGTAAATGAAGCCAAATTGCTTCTGGAATTTCTTTTGAGAAAGAGCATCTAAGAACAGTGATTTGACATATTAGTCTGTGAAATAAAACTAAAATTTAATGAATGCATTTTTGTAGTGAAGAGCACTATTTCTATGAAGATTACTTTTATTTCTGAAGTATGTTCTTATCTGATTAAGTTTCCTTTTTTTAAAAAAAAGATTTATTTATTTATTTATTTATTTATTTATTTATTTATTTATATAAGCACTGGGTACAGTCAGAAGTGCGGGAGGGTGAGAGAATTCACCAGAGTCAGAGCGGGGAGCAGAGCAGGCAGAAGGACCGAAGTACACTGCTGAGGGGAGCAGCGGGCGGCAGGAGAGGTCTGCACGCCATGTGGGACCCTCCTCCTGTGGCCGGGGAGCAGCCGGGGATCGAACCCGCGCTGCACAGGCTACGGGCAGCTTCGCAACCCAGCGCTCAACCCCTGAGCCACCAGGGAGGCCCTTATCTGATTAAGTTTCTGCTTTTAAACACTGATGCTAAAGTATATCATGTTTAAGCTTGTCTCAGAACCTCAGAAAATAAAAATCTAATTACTTGATTTTTATTAAATTATCTGTTATTTCTGAAAGCAATCATTAGTGACACAGTAACACCTTACTATTAAATTTCAATAACCAAACAATTCAAATGGATTAAATAGTAATATTTGGGAAAAAGTGACTAAATTTCATCCTTGCAAAATCTAGAAAGAGAATTATCCTAAAAATTAGTTATTTTAAAAGGCGATTTAAATTGACCAGGAGAATAAAGTACTTTCAAAACTTTAAAACACTTTTAAAATCTCCATGATAAATAACTGGTATATTACTAGTATAGCTATTATTAAATCTTCCCTCTATGATATTATAGGAAATATTTCATTAACCCATGCCTTGTACCTGAAATAAATGAAACAACATTTACTTAGAACTATACTCATTTCTTTTTAGAAAAGTATGAAGTATCTACTACATATCAGGTAATGTTCTAAATTCTGATATGGTGATGCACATGACATTTACCACACCTGCCACCAGTGGAACATCCAATGGACAGGGGTGGGGAGGAAGTGGGAGTACCAAAAATAAACAAATTAAATGAAATAATGTCACATAGGTAAAGGGCCAGAAATGAAGGAAAACTGAACATAGCTTTCCCCCTGAAAGTAGAACGTTTCTATTGGTATGATCTGGCAGGTTATTTGGAGGGCCTGATAACACTACTACCATTCATTGATTTAAATGGAATTTTTTGATCATTCCCAGACCTAAAAAATAACCTAACAAATCATCTCAAATAGGAACTTTCTACATTCAAACAGTGGGGGAAACTATGATAGAAAGTAAAGGGATGGGAAGCTGGAGTGAGGCTACTATCACTGTATCTAGAGTGATGACTGAGTGAGAGTTAAATGGTAAGATAGAGACAGTTGTGGGAAATTGGGGAAATTAAAATACAATTTGGGAACAAATTGGGAACAAATATCTGTAAATCACTAGTTCACAGGAATAAAAATCTAATGTGTAAAAAAGCAGGACTTCTAATATTTGTGGGTCCCAGGACAAGAAGACAAATGGAAGCTCACACACATTAGATCTAAATATTTTCAAGATCTAAATTCAGACAAGAAAAATGATTAAATATATTCCATCCTCCTACCTGATAATAGTACCTTCACTAGAAAGTGGTTATCAGTAGAGCCATAGCCTTCAGCTCCTGATCTATTCCCCTTTCCTATTTGATTCTATAAAACAAAGAACCTTACACACTCACAAGTAGACCTCCCAACTTACCCATTTGAGCTTATTCATAACCACAACCCCCAGAGATACTGCTTAGCCAGCCCTCAGGAGACAAGACCCAACTCCAATGGACATTGTTGAATTTTTCTCATGAGTAATTTCTCAGAAGTCTTCAATGTTGCAATTCACTTGGATGCCCACAACATCGTAATTTCTAGTTCTCCACAAATTCCTGTCAGCAACTCCATATCTACCCATACCTTAAACATTTTATTCTTTAAGAGTCTGTCTTGGGCCTCCCTGGTGGCGCAGCAGTTGAGCGCTGGGTTGCAAAGCTGCCTGCAGCATCTGCAGTGCCAGTTCAATTCCCGGCCGCCAGGCGAGGGTCCCACATGGCGCTCAGACCTCTCCTGCCGCCCGCTGCTCCCCTCAGCAGTGTACTTCATCAGTCTGCCTGTTCTGCTCTCTGCTCTGGCTCTGGTGAATTCTCTCACCCTCCCGCACTTCTGACTGTACCCAATGCTTGTATAAATAAGTAAATAAATCTTAAAAAAAAAAAATTCTGTCTTAAGTCCTAGTCTTTCTCATTTTACCTACCTTCTCCATGTGATCTCATGCATCTCTATAACTTGTCATCAGCAGACCATTATCTATTTTTCTAGCTCCTTCTTTTTGTCTAAGATTAACTGCCTATTTGATAATTATACTTGGAAGTCTCCCCGTACTTCTAGCTCAACATGTCTAAAACTGATTTCTTTATTCTTTCCCCACAACCTTGTCCCAGTCTACCCTGATTCTATAAATGGCACCATTCCTAGCCTAAGTGAGAAATCTGGGAATCGTTCTTTACATTGCCCTTTCAAAGTTCATAGTTCACTACATTGTCCTTTCCTCGATGTCCTTCCCCCATTGCTGAACACTAATCCCACCAATTCCATTTCTTCAATATTTCTTAAATCTGTTCTCTTAACTCTACCCCTATAACCATTATCTGTATTGTTTAAACCACTGCTACTTCTTGCTTTGACTACATCTTCCTAACTTGATGCTTCACAAACTTTTCTGTCATGGTACATGTAAAAATGATAATGTTAAGATACTCTGGGATGAAAAGGAAAGGATATAGAGATAGCTATTTTGGACTTAATATAAAATAATAGTTTTGAAAAATAAATTCAGTGTTATAGGTGATACTAAGCACTGAATTTGTATTAGTTTTTTTAATGTTTAATAAGGCTCCTTTCATAAATGTTTTTAAAGTTTAATACTCAAAATGCCCACAATCAATTGCTGATCAACACTTAAGGATGATCTCCTCAAATTTTTAATATTCATCATCAGAGAAACTTTCTTCACACAAGGAAATTAAAGAAATGCTTAAACATTTCTCCAACCATTCAAAATTGTAATAAAATCACAAAGACGAACGACTCATAGATGCCGATATGTCAGCTACATGTGGTGTTCAAGAATGTCTTATAGTTGTACCTACCAGAAGTCTCTACTCCACCTTCACATGGCCACTCTTACCAGTCACATTGTGGGCATCTGGAACACAAAACATTTCCAGCAGCTCCATGGACAGCAAAGGACCAGATAATCAAATACCAAAGAAATGCATTGTTTGGGGAGCTGCTCTCCAGAAGTGTCACTGAATTGCTAAGGGGCTAGCTATCCTGTCCATATTGCAGTTTTGAATTCAATACAGCAGAAAACTACTTCTAAACTTCCTATAATTATTTGATTGGGTTGACCTAGTCTGGTTGTGGGACAGGCAGCAGAAAACACTTTTCTAGGTACAGAGATCAACCTGACTAGATATATGAATAACAAATATTCATTGGTTGCATATCCTGCCTTGCCTCTCCTTTGGGTCTTTTTCAACTTTTCCTTCTGATTAGTAGCTCTCCTCAAAGTCCTTGCTTCCATGAATCCCAGACTTATATTAATAAGACATATTTGCAACCTCAAATCTCCCATCCCCCATTCCTCACTCAGGGGAATAATTGTCAAGGGCTTTTGAAAAAGCAAGTTTCCTGCTCTTTTGAGATAACTACCAGGAGATTGCTCCTCTCTGTTGTAGAACAGTGTGATACATCATATGAAAAATAAAAATTCTAAAGCATGCATTCTTAATGGGGTGAGACCATCTTCAAGGGGGACAATTAAGAACAATTTTTATGTATAAAATATAAATATGCATAGAGTACACAGAAATAGTATTTTTGTGATATTAAACATTGAGGAGCATTAAGAAGAAGACTTAAAAATCTCCTCAGAGAGGCAATAATATATGTGGGGGAAAAGATTGAGAAGTATCATTCTAGAATAGCAAATAACACAAAAGTAAAAGGAAATAATGAAATTTAATTATTGATGCTTAGTTTAATTAAATGAGACTGAAGCCTATTATAGCTCTTGACATTCTAAATTAGGCCAGTAACTCCCCCTTATTGCTTAAATTATTTTATGCTGAGCTCCATGTACTTGTAACAAAATTTATATAAACTGATAAAAGTATGGAACTCTGTATCTGAAGCATCATACATGCCAAAGCAACAGAACATTAAAGTGGAATTCTTGTCTGTTTCTGCAATCTCTGCATGGAAACAGGTGCACTCATATCCAAACTAAGCTAGATAAGGTGAAAATCCGATTTAGAACATGTAGAGGTAGTGAGAAATGTATTTTTAAACTCTTGGCCCTAATCCTCTGGTGAGACCACTTAAAGAGCTTGATACGTATCTCTAGGAATTTGTGGAGACACAATGAAAGTTGCTAATTATTATTGAAGTTAAGTTGATCATGCTAAACTCATGCAAGTTAAAGAAATGTGAAGTCAAATTTGAGAACATGCATTCAGCTTTCTTCCCTCAAGTCTCTTGGTTCAAACTCTATTACCTAGGACTCTGTGATTGCAAGGGACAAAAATACAACTTGAATCAGTTTAAATGAAAAATGGGAAAGTACCAGCTCATATAATCAAATCATAGAATGGGAAACGTGGATGGCAATGCAGCACTCTTTAGGCATGAACACCACTGGGACTTCATTGTCAGAACCTAGTGAAACAGTAAGGACAAATAAAGAAAAAAATCTAGTGGTCTGTAAGTAAACAAGAGAACTGATCTTAGAGTAGTACCATTGCTGTAAGTCCAAATCAGTGAATAAAACACATAAGCAGATGTATTGGGGTAGATGTTCAAAATCATGTAGGAAATAGACTTTGAAATACATCCATCAAAAAAGACAGATGTGGGCCTCCCCAGTGGCACATCAGGTTGAGCGCAGTTGTGAAGCTGTCTGTAGCCTCTGCAGTGCCAGTTCGATTCCCGGCAGGCCAGGGAGATTCCCACATGGCGCAGCAGACCTCTCCTGTCTATCCCGCTGCTCCCTTCAACAGTGTATTTCGGTCCTTCTGCCTGTTCTGCTCCCCACTCTGTCTCTTGTGAATTCTATCACCCTCCTGTGCCTCTGGCCTGTACCCCAGTGCTTGTAAAAATAAATAAATCTTAAAAAAAAAAAAAAAAAAAGACTGTCATCCTTAAAAAAAAAGACAAAAGTATGCATATATGGGTGAAGAGACAAGTGTATATATGATATAGCAAGTATAATAAACTGTTAATGGTAGAATCTTGATGGGAGGTATACAAGTGTTCACTGTATTTTTTTTTAGCTTTTCTGTATTTTGATATTTTTCATAACAAAACCTTAAGGAGGAAAATCAAGCAGGATAACAGCATCATGGCAGTGATTAGTTCCTCGTCAACAAGATTCTAGTTATAAACTGAAGGTACAGATAACAGATCTTTCTCTCCAGGGAAAGAGAGGACTGGTAAAAGCTATTCATTCATTCAGAAGATGTCATATTTGAGTCCCAACCTGGGACTCAACTAGCATACACTTTATTAAGCAGAGTTGTTAAAATCAGGTTTTAATCTGCAGCGAGATAGTACGAGGTTAAAAGGAGACCACCCTATCTTGGGAATTCAAGTAAAAGACAGATAGGCAAAAATAGTTTTCCCACTTACTTAATCTGCTTGTTTGGTTATTAGCACACTAAGCATCATTGTACATGTGCAAATAAAGCCCTAAGTCCTCACTTGGACATATGAGTGGTTCAAACTTGCTTTTTGAAACTTCAAGTTGAAATGTTTATGTTATATCTAAACAGAGGAGTCCAATAGGTTCAAGGGCAGGGAAAACCCGAGTATTGGGAGAGACTAGGAGTCATCAAATAAAAAGTGTATGCAGTCAAGACTGGATAAACACATCAGAAGAGTACAATGAAAAGTAATTTCTTCATCAGTTCACTGACCTATCCAGTGCTACTAGAATTACAAATGTTTAAATGACAGAATCCAGGAGTTCATAATAACTTCTTGACTACCAAATCCAAAGACCTATATGCAATCACAAATGTGATTTAACTATTTCTGCACAGTTATTTACTTGATCGGATATTCCTTAATTGGAAAGCTCTACTCCAGTGAAAAGTGGAACACCATTCCTCTGACTTTCTCTTTTAAACTGTTTCTTCTCGATCTTTTTTGAATTTTGACATTTGCAGAGTTCCTTCTTCAGTCTTAAAATCTTCATCTCTAAATCCAATTTTCTATGCCAGGCTTCAGGTCAAACTAAGTAAAATGTAGCAGCAGTTATAAAATTTAAAAAGTTGTGTTTACAGCACAGCATAGGCAATACTATCCGCCTTAGTGCTGTCGTGAACTAAGCAGTACTAGCTTGAGGATTGTAATTGCTTTAATATCTCTATTTTCTCACGTTCTGAAAAGGACAACAAAAAGTAGCTTTCAAGACTGTACCTAGTCACTCGACTAAAAATGTAAAGTATCTAGCACAACACTCCATACTCGATATATACTAACATAAGAACACGCCACAGTATGCCAAATGATAAATACCTACCTTACCTAACCTGTAAGGTAACATCAAAATAGTAACTTCTGTTCCTGAGTATTCAGACTACAAAGTGCTATTCGGTTACACGCGCTGACTCGCTCCATATTATTTTCTTTAGACTCTCTCACAGCGTCAGAGACTGGCTCAAATAACAGTAGCAATTACTTCCTCCGAAATGCCTCACTGAGAGCAACATATTTTCCAAGGCTTCTTAAACAAATCGTTCGGCATAGTTTAGGGCTGAAACTGAAAAACAAGCTTCGTCACAAAAACTCATTCCAACACTACTCCTTCCATCTGCAGGTCTGTGAACGGAAGGGACCGCGGCCACGACACAGTTCACCAAACAGAGGAGAAACCGTACTTTTCATCTTTCCCGCTGGTCCTAAACCACCAACCACACTGATTATTTCTCTAGCTGCGCGCCACTTCCGTTGGCGCATTTTCATTACGTCACGAATCAGGTCTCGCGATAGTACGTGGGGCCTGCAGGCCTGCTTTGTCCTACAGGTCCAAGTTAGCCTCTCACCTTCCCCCGCCCCACCCCGATCTGTCCGTCCTTTCCGTCTTAGTCACAAAAATTGTCCCCACCCCTCCCATGAGCTAACGGCCCACCTCCTGTTTCCGATTTCAGGCCGGAACCGGAAGTGTTGTGGGCCGGGCCCGGCGGCGGAAAACGCAGCAGAGCCGGGGCCGGGACTCCGCCGTGGCGGCTGCTCCTGTTCCTGTCGCGGGTCGCCGTGGCTCCAGGCTGAAGGTCGGCCCGGAGGCTGGTGGGCGCGGGTCTCCCCCGGGGCGTCCGGGTGGCAGGATCCCCGAGCCCCCCGGGCTCCGCGAGGGATCATGTCTACAGCCTCCGCCGCCTCCTCCTCTTCTTCGTCTTCCGCGGGTGAGATGATCGAAGCCCCCACCCAGGTCCTCAACTTCGAAGAGATCGACTACAAGGAGATCGAGGTGGAAGAGGTGAGCGAAGTCGTGCCGGCCCTGGGCTGTCCGGTCTCTGCCTGATCCCGACTTTTAAGTCGACTCTCCGGCCCCTCATCCGCGGGGCCCACCCGGGAGTCCCCCCAGTTCCACCGGGACTGGGTGGAGTAGGGACTTGTCGCTCTCAGGTACTACGCGGTAGCTCTGTTTTCCTCGCTTCTGCACTTTTGAGTTTGGATTTAATAGTCCGGTGCCTGGATTTGGGTCACCTCAAGTAGGAGGATGAATTGATGGAACTGTTGTCCACCAGTTCTCAAGCTGTGAGTAGTAAATTCATCGAAGACCGTGGCCGTTTTGGAGTTTCGTTTCTCAAAGATGATGTGTTCATAAGGGTCGAAGTTTGTATTAAGTTGGAGCCCCGTACCTGGCACATAGTAGGCGATCAATAAATACTTGACAAATTGATACATAATCATGTCTAATAAAGTGTTTCCCTGAGTACTGATTCTCAGCTTGGCCGATTCCACAGAGCAGCACTTAGAATAAATGTTATGTCTTCAGTCGGACTAATTTAGATGAATTTCACCATTTGTAATCCAGGCTTGTGTACAATGAAAAGATGTCTCAAGTAGCGTATTCGAAAAAAGCTAATGATATTGATGACAACTACAATATAATTTTAGAGTAAGATAGTAAAGTGCCTTTAATGCATTGAGTCTTTTAAGATTTACAGAGGAGATGACTCTAAGTACCATAAAATGTAAAAAAATAAAATTGCGTAGTATCTTTAACGACACATTTTAGAAAGTGTTAAAGCTGATTGAAAATAGTATCTTACCTTTGTCATACTTTTGATTTATTATGCATTTTGCATTACATATGTGATAAAGAACCTTTAATTCTGTATGTTAGACTCCGAGTTATCGCTACTTTAAAATCCAAAATTATTTTTAAGTAGTGGCAAGCAGAAAGCAGTGAGATAATTTATCATTGAACAAACAAACTTTTCTTTTTGCATGTTTTGGAAGTATAATGGGTTACTGAATCCTATATATATTTGTATATATTTTACTGCATAAAGTAATCTTAGAGATAACTGAGAACTTCATTTTACAAGTAGTATAAGTGTGAAGAATGAAACCTGTAGAGTTAAAGGAAGGTTCAGTCTCAATTGCGCCACTTTGTAATTTGAAGCAAATTTCCTACCACCTTTCAGGTTTGGTTTCTGTAACTATAAAATAAGGATAATAATTTTTCATTTTATCTGTATAACAGATCCAACTAGGCGTTATATGCAAAACATCCAACATGATATCTGGCACATATTACAAGGAAACTGAGTTCAAACTGGAGCAGTGACCTGCTTTAAGGTCACATGGCTAAAAGAAGGACCAGTATTTTGAAAAAGGGGATGTGTGGATGTGTCTGTGTATGTGTTTCTATGATAAATTCCTTTTTCAGAAGTGGATAGTTGGTCTAACTTTCATGGATTACATTCTTTCTTTTTTAAGAATAAAACTTCAGTGAGTCAGTATAAAAGAATTGCGGTTTTTAAATAAGCATTTACGTCTACTCTGGAGAACTGCTATGCTTGTAGACTACAAATTGTTATATAATAATAACTTGTACTTCATTGTCTACCAAATGCTTTCAGAGACTTACATCATTTCATGCTTACAATCTTAGTTTTCATACACCACTATCTAAAAGTCTTTACATTTTTGCTTGGAAAATGAAAGTTACTAAGGAGACATTTGTTGTTTTGCTGTTCTTCCCCTGAAGCCATTTAATTTCTGATTAGGTTTTTCTCTTTGTACACATCTTTAAGTTTAGATGGTTCATGCTTTCTTTGGTTATTTTAAACTAAATTGAATAAAGCAAGAATCATAGATTGGAAATGACACTAAAATGCATTATCTTTGTAGTTGTTCCTCTACCTGCAGTGCTCTTCTCCAGAACTTCACGTTTCTGGCTTCTTCCTCCCATTCAGGTACCACCTCAAATGTCACTTCCTTAGAGAAGCTTTCCCTGAGCAGCTTTGATCTTGTCACTTCTGTTATCTTTCATGGCACTTGCCAGTCACTGAAATTGTATATCTCCCAGTAAAATGTAAGGTTCCTTATTCACACTTGTAACTCCAGTACCTAGTACCTAGAAGGTTTTATATAACTTTTTTTTAGCACATAACTGAAGTCATCATAACATAATTATGAGAATTTGGTGTCCAATTTGGTTCTCTTATTTATGTATGATAAAACCAGAGGTTTAAGTGAGTTATGTGATTTGGCTAAGGCAGCATTTACATTAGAAATCAACTTTGATTCTCTTTCCAAATCTTGATTCCATTAGACTTAATTGTACCAGCAAATATTTTTGTTTAGCAGGGATAAAGTTGTTGTAAAAGATCAGATGCTATGTACCAATTACTGGTGAACCTTAACTAAATTGCTAAAAAGTCACTCTTTGACATGTACTTTTTAAAAGAGAGACACAGTGTTGACCACAAGTATAGCATATGAACAGGGCACAGGCAGTCACTACAGAATTTAATCATCATTACACAAGCACACAAAGGTTTTGTTTTCAAGGGAGAAATAGAATGGTAGTAATGCATATTTTGTGGGTTTAGATTCTAAACATATGGGCAGTTGATACAGAGAAAAACCTAACTTACACAGGTCTGAATAAGCTGAGCCCATACATTTGTTAGCCAGTATTTAATTATGAATATCCAAAATTATTCATAAATTCTTCATTGTGAAATTAGTAGTCAGTAGAAATCTAGCATGGTTATTACAGTGAAGCTGCAGTGATAATTTCTGTTTTGTGTATGTCTAGCTTAAGAGGTAACACAAGCATTTATTTGAAAGAACTGTTAAATGGATCAGATCTCTTCCCGCAGAATTTAAGACTATGAAAAATTTCTTTCAAAAGTTTGAATAATCAAAGCTTTGCTTTTATGTTATCAAGTCTGTTTTGTCAGCAGATGGCAGTTCCACTCTGCCACAGTTTATTAATAGATATAGAAGTTCTGAAATAGTTGGAGGCTCCAAGTCCTAACTAATAAATGTAAGATCTATGCTTGTTCTGTCATGTTCCAAATTCTAGCCAGAGTAATGGCAGCATAGCCAAGGTCCATTCACATAGTCCACAGAGGAGGGCCAAACAAAACTGACTACAGTCATTGAACTAAAAATAACATGAATTGGGGACAAGAATTATTTTATAGTAAATTAAGAGCACAAGGGCATACATCCTTTTCTGTTTAGGTAAAGTGTTCTTTTTTTTTTTTTTTTTTTAATGGTCCAGTGGGTAAAGAAATCATCTGACAGATGAAAAAATTTCCTTTATAAAGGAATTGCTTTCTGTAAAACACAACTAATTCTGGTTTTGAGTTTTGTTTCAATGCTAAATTGTATGGAGATATTCTTTACATTATTTCTCTTATACTTTTGTTACCTCTTTTATTAAGAAATTAAATTGAGGGCCTCCCTTGTGGTACAGGGCTTAAAGTCTCAACACTATCAGGCTACCACCAGCCACTCTGTCATGAGTTCAATCCCTAACCACGGAGGTAACCCACATGGCACAGCAGACCTCTTCTCTCTTGCCCACTGCTCCCCTCAGCAGTGTATTTCAGTAGATCCACCTGTTCTGCTCCCCACTCTGTCTCTGGTGAATCCTCTCACACCACATACTTCAGGCCTATACCCCAGTTCTTGTATGCATGAATAAATAAATCTTAAAAAAAAATTGAAATCTGCTTTACTATGTAAGACTAAAATTGTGGACCCAAAACAAGAGGACTAAACCATTGGGGGGGGGGGGAATTACATATCTTAATAGCATTTATCTGAGAACATTTTGAATTAGAAAACATACATAAATTTAGAAAGCAGTATTTCCAAATTGACTTCCCTTTTAAAACCAAAGTCCTCTCTGCATTCCTTTGTTCTTCTATTTTTACAAATCAGGGATTGAGAAAAATATCTGAAATATTTATTTCTAGGTTTGCCATTTTGGACAGATGTTTGTGAGGGGGGAGATACTTATAATTTGAATGTGTGCCCATTTTTACACTCTTGGTGAAAACTGATCTTGAGGGGAAGCAGTCTTTCAAAACAATTGTTAATGATTGATAATGCCTCCAAAAAAATTCAACTATTCAGACATAAATGCAATCCAGAAAGCATATTTGATTTGTGAACTTAAATTAGAAATTTGTTGTAAGTAAAAAGTGGTTTCCTTTCAGCACTTTGTAATTTGAATATTAGGTTTTTCGTTGTTTACCTCAGTTGTCAGTGTGTTTCCATTGCCATTGATGTCACTTCTTTCGACTGACCAACCATGTGCCAAGAGAAACATTGGGTTGCACACAAGAATTTTCTTTTTTCCTTCTTCCCGCCCAAGATGGTGTCTCAGAGCTCTGAAAAGCCTCCATTAGTATTAATAGCAGGGTTGGGCTTTATGGTCTCTGACTTCCTCAGCTAAACCATTTGAAGGCTTATTAAAACATTGCTGGACCGTATGGTCAGACTTAGAAATTCTGAGTTAGAACCTGAGAATTTACAGTTCTCAAAAATTTCAAGGTGATGTTTCTGACCCACAGACCACAGTTTGAGAACCACTGATGTGAAGCTTTTGCTGCTTTTACAAATGAGTTTCTGTTGAAACTCTTTTCTTGGCTTCTTGTGACACTCTTCTGGTTTAGCTGCTACCTTATTGACAGTTCTTTCTCAGATTTGCTGGTTCCTTCTGTTTGTGTTCTAAATGTTGACAGGCTTCAAAATTAATTTATGGAAACCCAGTATCAACATATTATTTCTTCCTGATCTTATCCACCTGATGACTGGAAATCCCAACTAAATGCTAATGACTCTTACAAGTTTTTATCTTCTGCCTGACTCATCCTAGGTCACGTCTCCACATTCTTGGTACCTCCACTCAAATAACTAATAGGCATCTTGAACTTAGTGTAACTAAAAGAGAATCCTGTGATTTTTTTTTTTTTAACTCTGCTTGCTCCATTCTTTCTTCTC